GTATAATTGCTTTACAATGGTATGTTAGTTTCTGCTGTATAACAGAGGGAATCAGCTATACATATACATGTATCCCCATATCCCCTCCCTCTTGGGTCTCCCTCCCACTCCTCTAGGTGGACACAAAGCACCGAGCTGATCTCTCAGTGCTGTGTGGCTGCTTCCCACTAGCTATCTATTTTACATTTGGTAATCTTTTTTTTTTTTTTTTTTTTTTGCGGTACGCGGGCCTCTCACTGTTCTGGCCTCTCCCGCTGCGGAGCACAGGCTCAGCGGCCATGGCTCAGAAGCCTAGCCGCTCCGCGGCATGTGGGATCTTCCCGGACTGGGGCACAAACTCATGTCCCCTGCATCGGCAGGTGGACTCTCAACCACTGCGCCACCAGGGAAGCCCGGTAATCTTTTTTTTAATGAAATGAATTTATTGCAGGATTTGAATGTTTCTAAATCAACAACTTTAGTGAATTTAAGTTTGCTGATACCTAAGGAGTTTTATTAGGGACCTATAACCTTAAAGTAAGAAAGAGATTTTGACACTTTTTTCTTTTTTTTTTTTGCGGTACGCGGCCTTCTCACTGTTGTGGCCTCTCCCGTTGCGGAGCACAGGTTCCGGACGCGCAGGCTCAGCGGCCATGGCTCACGTGCCCATCCGCTCCGCGGCATGTGGGATCTTCCTGGACCGGGGCACAAACCCGTGTCCCCTGCATCGGCAGGCGGACTCTCAACCACTGCACCACCAGGGAAGCCCAAGATTTTGACACTTTTGATCCCTAATCTTAATTAATGATGGAACGTTAGAGAATTTGAGCCCTTCCATGTTTTGTTGAAGACATTCCCCAGTAGTTGACTGTAGCTTTACCAGCACTCCTTCTATTTTTAAGGCCGAATATGCTGACAGCTGTAAACATAATTTTCAGATCAGTGAACTTTGCAAAAGTCACATCTACCACAGCATCTAAATAACATTAAAACATTCAGGTAAATAAAGAAGGTTTAAATATCTCTGGCCAAGATCATGTTAAACAAGTAAAAAATAAAGCTGTGCTAAATATTTTAACTTCTGGTCAGGTTCCCTAAGTGAAAAGAAATCCTTCCCTGTTTATCCACCCTCAATATAAGGTAAATGATAAAACCTGGAAGGGCTTACAAAGCACAGCAATTTCTTTCCCAGGATTATGGTAGTTTTAAGACCTACTTAATGGAAGTTACAGGTAAAATAAAAGCATACTAACTTGCATATCATTAAAAAACTTCCTTGAAGAAATGTTCCTTCTTTAGTTCAGTTTTCACATTTTAGGGTTATCAGCCACAGCTGTACCTTTTATTTTATTCTTTATTTGAATATTGTGTTATTTAAAGCCCTGAGGTTTTTGCCTTCTAGATTTTATAGCACCTGAAGTCAGTCAGAGTTTCAGCCAGTGTTAAGTACTTGAGGTTTTGCAGGTTATACAGTTGTCTTTGTCCAACAGAATTTGAATGCTAATTCTGAGAATTCTGACTCTGTCTCAGTTTGTGGAGGTTGGTCAAAAATGAGAAAATCTGAAATGAACTTTGTATGTTTATGTGTAGCTTGTGGTAGCCTGGCTCCAAAATGCCCTCGATCCCTGGGTTCTTTGGTTGCAAGGAAACACTCAGACCAATTTGTGAAATAGACCTATTCTAGATGTCTATAGACTTTTAAAGGAAATGAGGAGCTTTAGGACTGGAATGTTCTGAAACTTCCTGAGTTAACATAAAATTAACCTCATTTCCTCAACATGCTTTTGGACGAGTAAGTAGATCTATAAGAAATTGGGGGAATGGGGGCATGTCCACACTGAAAAAATGACCGTGTTATATGATGCCTTTGGTCCCACTTAAACTCCACCTAAATGAGGGTCTCCAAAAACTTAAAACATTTTCTCTTAGCCTTCAGTCTGTCACTGCCTTGAGGTTAGGCCTACAGGGACGAAAGTGTAAGACAAATCATAGAAGTACTGGCCTTACACTTGTTGGCTTAATGGCAACTTGAAAATATTTCAGAAATAAAAATTGGAAGAGAAATTTAAGCAAGTATTGGTACAGAGCTTCACTGTCCAGTACGATAGCTATTAGATACATTTACATTTAAATGAACTGGAGTTAAATGAAAAACTCATTTCCTCATTTTAACTAGCCACATTTCAAGTGCTCAGTAGTTACATGTGGCTATCACCTTGGGCAGTGCAGATATAGAATGTTTTCATCATTGTAGAAAGTTCTGTTGGGTCAAGTTGGGGTAGGCTCTTAGCTTTGAGGGGGGCACTAGGAGAGTGGGGTTTTTCTTTGTTGACGACATCTTGGTTCTTACAGGCTCTGAACCGTACCCGTGTTAAAAGAAATAATGAGCCGGTGATGCTAACTTTAAACCAAATGAGAAAGTAATATCAGACTTTCCTGACTGAAGAAGAAATGATTTCTAATTAAAGTGAGTGTGCAGAAAGATGAGTGTACATCCACTCAAAGCCGATAGAGTGGTACACCCATACAAGAATCAGGCAGATTTATATATATATTGATATAGTTAAGATTTATAGCTAAGTGAAAGGGGCAGGGTGTTAAATGGTGTATCTAATATGCTTCTGCATGGCAAAAAGAAAGCAGGGATGCACACACACATTTGTATAGGTTAGATCATCCCAGGAAAGATGAGAAATTATTAGCAGTTGTTGCTTTGAGACTGGGAAAGGGGGAAAACAGGGACTCTAGGACTGACAAGTACGTGAGGGAGAGTTGCCTTTCTCCGTGTATTGTGTTTCGTTTTTCTTTCTGTTTTTTAACTTTGTGTAGGTAACTAATGCAAAATACAACATTAAGAAGATTACAAATCACCAGGTACCAAAAAGAATCAGTGTGGTGTGGACCGGCTTAGATTGAGGGAAGATGGAGTGTGGGGTTATCCTTGAAGTGGATTTGGCTGGAGTTAGGAAGATTTGGAGATGAGTATACAGGGCACCAGTACTCGCAATGCTGGCTGTTTTCTGCAGAGGAAAGTTATCAGGGTTTTACAACCATTATTTTTAAAGTTTAAATCAATATTTTTAAGGTACAATTTTTATATAATAAAATGAGGGCATTTTAGCATCTTCAGTGTGATGTGTTTTGACAAATACCCTGTGTAACCACCACTCCTGTCAAGGTGTAGAACATTTTGATCACCTCACAAAGCTCTCTGGTGCCCCTTGCAGACAGTGCCCTCCACGCCATCTCAGGCAGCTACTGATCTGCTCTGTCATCACAGGCATCGTCAGCTTTGCCCATTCTAGGATTCCATCTAACTGGAATCACATCATATGTGCTCTTTGGTGCCTATCATCTTTCACCTGCGATGTTGTGTGTATCATTAGTTTCTTTTTATTTCTGAGAAGGCAGTCTGCTTTGGTTTTTTTTTTTTTTTAAATTGAAGTATAGTTGATTTACAATGTTGTGTTTCTGGTGTACATCAAAGTGATTCAGTTATACATACACATACACTCTTTTTCTTCTTTTCCATTATGGTTTACTACAGGATATTGAATACAGTTGCCTGTGCTGTACAGTAGGACCTTGTTGTTTATTTTATATGTGGTAGTCTGTATCTGCTAATGCTTCGGTTCTTAATTAACCAAATGTGGATTGTCTGTATGTGGCAAATAGGCTGGAATTAATGACCTCTCTCTCCTACCCTCTCCACTCCTCCCTAGATGCCCACCCCCTTGATATACATTTTTGAACTTTCTCATATGTCAGGGTTGATAAGGTAGTTAAACATCAACTTAAACAAAACCAACAGCGGAAGTCTGGGTGGGCAGAAGTAGCTGCAGGAGACCGGTGTCCTGACTGTGGCCCGGCTACTCAACCTGGGTGCCTCTGACTCTCTGCAGCCCAGGTCTGTGGGTGTGCTCCTGCTCTTGGGCTCTGTGCCAGATAACCTGGATTTAAAATACTGTCTCACTTCGGGTATTAGAACACTGCTCGAGTGGGATCTCATTTATGTAGTGTACATAAAAATTAAAACCTAGGGAATTCCCTGGCAGTCCAGCGGTTAGGAGTCCACGCTTCCACTGCACAGGGGCACAGATTTGATCCTGGTCAGGGAACCAAGATCATCCCGCAAGCTGCACGGCATGGCGAAGAAAAAATAAAAAAATTAAAACCTGACATAAGGTGCATGGCATAGAAGTCAGTGAGACACCATGCTGGGATCTGCAAAGAATGTGTAAGCATTAACCTTCCTAATTAGAGTTTTAGGCTTTTGTAATATAACCAGTAGCTGCTACAAGGAAATGATAACAAATTGAAGAATGTGGTTTTAAAAAATTGTATTAATAACCCCTTTCTGGGTTTTTTGCATCAATTAAATGGCATTAATTGTTTAGAATAGACGACACACATTTGTACCCAACTATAAAACAGTATGTGTTGATCAGATCTCCTCCAGCTGACGTATTGTAACTCTTAAATAAATTATGGATCAAGGGAACTTTTTTCAGTAACTCTCAGATATGCCAAGGGAAGATGAATGTAATAGTGTTTCTTATCTTTAACGGTAACCACAGGAACTATGATGTTGATCCCAGATTCACAGTCTGCAAATGAAGCCAGTGCTTGCTTTTGTCACCCAGCTAACTTTCACCATAGGAGAAAAAATAGAAAACAGCAGCATTGGCGCACCGCGCACATGGGCAGGGGTATTAAATATGTATAGAGTGAAAATGACAATTTTCTATTAATAAATTATGAGTGGTAACATTTGTTTGCGCAGTGCATGTTTTCAGTGGTCCCCAGTTGACTTTTCTCCTGCTTTAAACGTGTATTTACAGGCTATGTCTGGAAAAATGATCCAGCATACAGGTTCTGTGGTGTTTCAAATTGCACAGTGTAGGTATACTCCCTCTCCCCCCCAAAAAAAGTGAATTGCATTTTTATGTTGTTGGAGCTCTCAAAATAGAGTAATGTACGTTTTAAAGAGAACATTGCTTGTCCCTAGTGTGGTACCACGAGTAATTCTGCTGTGGTTGAGCTGAGCTTCAGAAGCACTGAAAAATTTATAAGGTGAAAAGCATGCGTACCTATATCACCTTGGCACTTAGGTCTGATTTAGGGGGAGCAAAAGTGTTTGGGGGTTGAGTCAGTTGAGATGAGGGGTACCAAGTAGGGAAGATTCACAGGCTAAATGTATTACCCTACCTACAACAATGTGAACCTAATATTGGTAAGGTCAAGGTTCTCAGAATATTTTCTTATTGCCGTAACCAACCAACTTTACAATGATGATTTTCTTGCTTCTTATTCTTGCTTCTTAGTTTCCTTTAAAGGGAAACTAAATAAAACTAACTTCAAAATTACATTGTTAATGTAATAAATGGTTTTATCTGATTTTTTCATTTTGGACTTCCAAATCTATACTAAGATGGGACGCAACTTACATCATGAAACTCTGTATTTATGTTTTGCTTTTAGGGATCTAAATATGTAGAAATTTCAAATTACAAGGAAAAATGAATGCTGTCCCTTATTTTTACAAGCTTTTACATACTAAGAAGATGTCCTTATTGGTCTGATTATGTGAGGGCTGTGTGCACTTAGATTGCTGAACGAAAATCAGCTTGTGGTTTCCAAATGCTAGCACCATCTGGAGTTTTTAAGCAAAAGCAGTTTTTAAAATATATTCTTAATGGGTGCATTTTATAATTTCTCAATGAATGTAATCAAGGCTACTAAAAGTGTGAATAAATCAGAACTCTAACTCCTCAGATATATATTGTGTAATGAGTTATTAGAAGTAATACTGCAGTTGTATGGAACATGCTTGACCTATTGAATGTATTTAAAATTAGAGAGATTTATTTTTATTAATCTGTACGTGGTTAACTAATGGTTATATTCAGTTTCTAAGGCAATTTTCTCTCACCTTTTTCTCTCTGTTAGGAATATGTCTCAATTATTACAGTGTATCAACCTATGAAGTAGAAGTTTTGATGGAAACATTAAAGCATATGTACTGTAAAAATCCTTTACTAATTTAACTTTGTCGTCTTCTTTTTTCCTTTTCCAGAAAGCACAGATATGCCAGCAGAGACTAGACAGGGAAATTTCCAACTTTCTCAGACTGATTAAGGAGTGTGACGTGGCTAAAGGTAAAAAAGACACACCCCACACCCCACTCTTGAACACAACCCATTATCATAGATGTTCACCCTTTGGCTGACTATACAGTTTAGACAATTTTGGGGTTTGAATTCAGAATTGTATTTGAAAAAGTTAAAGTTAACCTTTTGGGGCTGTGAATTCGTTTTGGCTACGTAGTGAGACTGTTTATGAATCCCAGAAGACTTGGATTTTGTGGTCAAATTGTCTTGGGTTTGAATCCTTGTTCTGCCACTTATTAGTTGTTACTTTTGAGCAGAACATTTAATTTCTCTGAGCCTTGTTTTCCCTATCTATAAAATGAAGCGGTTGGTAGTCTTTTGCCATTCTGTGAATGTATGTGTGAATTCATCTAATTATTAATCTCCCTTTCAAAGGTCATTTTTTGTGCCTTTACTCTCCTTTAGTTATGAATTATCAGGAGTTAATTATAAATACTCCAAAAATCAAAATACAATGCAATACAAAATACAAAATCCCAATATAAAATCCAATACACAAATTAGGTTTTGAGAAAAAATTATTGATTACTTTATAAATTAAACAGTTATCATGTTCCTTAGACTTAAGAATCTTAACAGTTGCTTTAGACTTTAGCTGTGATGTGTTTATAAATAACTCCACTAAAATATAATCAGCTGAGTTGTCTGAGTTTATTAACTACTGATTTTAATCATGATCTAGTTTATGTGTGCCCAGGGAATGTGAAGAAATGTTAATATTAGAGTAAACTGAACATAAATGTTCTGTATCTGTCCAGGTATACCTTGGACATCCCTTTACTTCAGTTCAACAAACACGTATTTAGATGAGTGATGATAGCTTTGGGAAGGACAGCAGTCAAGTCATTGTGATTATTAATTGCAAGCAAGAATATTTTATTACTTAAGGCTCTTCATCCTCAATGGGCTTTTTAAATAATAACGGCCTCATTAGACATAATTCACATAAGCCTCGAATTCACGTATGTGGAGTATACCATTCAGTGGCTTTTAGTATATTCACAGAGCTATGCAACTGTGACCATCAGTGGGCTTTTAAAATACCATCCTCACCAAAAACCATCAAAACTAAGCAGAGATACTAACAACATTTAAAAGATACAGAAACTGTACAGAGTGAGATGAAATATAAGGATTAATTTCTTTGACTTGGACCAAAGAAAGAAATTATATGAGAACTACAACCAAATTACATTGTTCTTTTCTTTTAAACCTTGAGTCAGATCTCTTGGTTCAGATCATTGGTATGACATGTCACTCATAAATGATGGCATGCATCATTTGTGCTCTTAGAGACATACATGATACTCAGTACCGCAAGAGTGATTTCATTTTGGACAGTGTCATCTGGGAAACTTTGAAATATCTGACTGTGATCTGACAATTCTATTTCATATATCTACAGTAAAAGTCAGTGGGTTTTAAACAATTATGTATAGAAATTATGTTCAGAAATTATAGACGTTATTTTCTGAAAGATTGGTGTAGATAAATAAAACTACATTTTATGTAAATACTAAGTAAATAGGGTTGAGATAATTTCATGAATGGAATTGGAGTTTTGAAGGTAACAGAGTCTGCTCTTAACGCCAAGGGATTGTGCAGAATAATCTTGTACCATGTGTTTTATTGAAGGAAGCTGATAGATACACATCCTGTTCCAAACTGCCTACATAGTTTGCCAGTGACTTCTCAAGATGAAAAACTAAAGTGTTTGTGGGCAGAGTCCAGCTCTTGTGGTTGAAATTGTTAGCTGTCTTACATTTTAGTATGAAACTATATGAACATGAACTTTAAGACTCAACGCCCTTCTTCCTTATTGCGTCTTCTACAGTACCTGTTCTGCTCTGCACCACCTCAATCCAAATCACTGCAGCAGCCTGTCCTTTAGTCTCCCTGCCTTTGGGAACCTCCTGCATTCCATCCTTAAAGGGAATTGAATCGGAAGCCTTTCAGGAACTCTTCCAACTCAAATTCTGTGAAATACTGCATTATTGCTGCCAGATTAATTTTAGTTACTTTTTAAAAAAATTATTATAAATGTTTTTTTCTGTTGAGAAAATCTTTTAAGTGTCCTTGAAACTACAGAATAAAATGCAAACTCTTTATCCTGGCATTTAAGGACCTTCATAGCCCGATCACAAACTGATTTTTTAGCTTTATTTACAATTCTTCTCCCCTGTGACCCCCGTAAACACTTTTGACCAAACACTGTGTCTTTGGTCTGAAATGTCCTCTATTAAAATAATGCTTTTGTTTTCATGAGTGGACCTTAAACCTAATTTCTGCCTGGATTAATGACAAATTTATGTATCTCACATTGGCAACACATCATTCAAGGTGCAAAGAATGCTGTTTTAAAATCTCTACTATTTTATCTTTACCAAAAGCCTGGTTGCGAAAACAAATAAAATCACTCAAACTTATAAAACTTTTGGAAGACATCCTGAAAGCCATGCAGTCAATCTGTTCTCCCCGACAACCTTAAAGTTACCCTTAGGTGTAGCAGCCAGGTTTTGACTATTATAAATAATGTTGTATTGTGCATTTATATTTAATCACATCATTTTATTACCATAGGATTCCTGGAAGTGGGATTAATGGGTGAAAGTATATTAGCATTTTTGAGCCTATTGATATATACTGCTAAGTTACTTCCCAAAAAAGATATATTACTTTACATGCCAAGTTTAATGCATGCACTTTATTGCATGTTACTAAGTGTACATAGTAAATCCCTGGTTAAAGACATTTGCATGTTTTCAGTTATCTAAAAGAAGAAAATCTTAAAAGGAAAAGCACTTTTATTCAACCCACTTAACACTCTCCTCAAAATTCTAGGCTTTGAGTAAATATTCTTATCACCACCTTCACTGTTGCCACCCCAGTCCAAGCCACCCTCGTCTCCTACATGCACTATTAAAACAGCCTCCTGACTCAGATCCCACCCTTGCCCCTACAGTCCCTGCCCCAGGGATCTTTCTAAAGCATCAGTGGGTTGATGTCCTTTGCTCAAAACATGCATTTGCTTCCAGGTCTTCTCACTTAGAGTGAAAGACAGAGTCCTTCCCTACCTGCCTCTCTCCAGCCTCACTGGCCTTCTTGCTGTCCCTCAAAGCTGCCTTGGGCCTGGGTGGGTGTTCTGGCACCTCTGCCTGTAAGGCTTTACTCCAGGGTTCGCCCTCCCTCCCCAGGTCTCTAAACCAGCAGAACCTTCCGACTGAGGCCCTCTCTTGCTGCCTGCACTGGTTTGCTCCTCCACGGCTGTTCTCTGCCCTGCTTGGTGCCCTGGGCCCATGATCACTGTCGACTTTAGGAGTATTACTAGGGCTTCTTTGCCCTTAGCCCTCTGATTGGGTCCAGCAAATGGGAGGTCCTGTGCGGAGATGGGTGGAGGGGTGGGAGGAGGAGTAGGTCGGGGTTACCCCGCTCCCTCCTGCAAGCTGTGGTCTAACCCTGCTGCTGGGCTCCACCCGGCCCAGGGCCCCATTCTGTGACTCCAGCTCCTCCTGTGCCTTCCCTTGGCCCCGCTGTCCCAGGGTAGTAACTGTCCTGCATGCCTCTCTGTTAGTTCGCTCAGGCTCATCGTTGTGCGTCATCTCTGTAAAATTCTTTTCAGTTACACTTTGACTTTGCTGGCTCTTCCTGCCAGGACATTACTGATGCCAAGTCCCAGCTAAACTTCCATCTCTAGCACTGGCTCTCCCCTTCCTTGTGTTATTCTTCTCTTTGTCACTCATCAACCTTCCTATATATGTGTGTGGAGTTGATTGTCTGCCTCTCCTTTTGGAATATAAACTCCACGAAGGGAGGAACTTTGGTCTGTTTTATTCACCGATTATCCTCAGCTCCTAAACAGTGCACGGCATGTGGTAGGTGCTTGTACTCGCTTGCCTCTTTCTCTCCCTCTCCTTCCTACCCATCCTCCCCTCCCATACACACACACACACACACACACACACACACGCATTGTGAGTGAATAAAATGAATAACGTATTTAGCTAATAAATTTATAACTTATTTCTGTTGAACTCAGGGAGAAACAAGTACTGCATTTTTTCTTTCAAGTTAATGAGTGAACAGATTGTATAATTCGGTGAGACCTTCTAGAGACAAACAAATTGGGGAAGAAGCTGTCCACACTGGAGAGCGTTTTGCATTCTTTTACCAATAGGGGTTCTGCAGTCAGTGCCATTGGTTTTTATATCCTACTCTTCTCCCGTGGATTCAGTGTTTTTCCTGAGGCAGACTTGTGACTAGTTCTTTCACTGAGGATCTGTGGGTGGTAGAATTTCTCTCTCATCTAAATCTTTTTTTTTTTTTTTTTTTTTTTTTTTTGCTTTTTTATTATTATTTTTTGGTTGAACATTTTTTTTTTTTTTTTTTTCTTTTTATGTTCACTTACGGCTTTTCAAAGATCTCCGCTTTGTCTTTGGTGTTTTGCAGTTTTAATCTGTCTTGCTATCCGCTGCTTGAGGTGGTTTTTAATTCAAAGACTCATTCATTCTTTCTTCAATCTGGGAAAGTTCTTCGCCATTCTCTCCTCACACTGTGCTTCTTCATCCGTTCTGTTCTGTTCTGCTGAAACTCCTGTGGGTATGTGTGGAACCTTCTTATTTACTCCCCACCTCTTAGTTCCTCATTCTCTTTTTATTTTTCTGTTACATTCTGAGCAGTTTCCTCAGATCTGTTTTCTAGTTTCAGTTTCTTTCTCAGTTCGATCTCTTTTGGCTGTTTAATCCTTTGACTTTCTAATCCTAATTGTATTTCATAATTCTAGAAATTCTAGGTGGTGGTTTTAAAGTTTTAGTTTTTTCCATAGAAGCCTGCTCTTCCATGTTACATACATTTCGAACTTTATCTCTCATCATTTTAAGCGTGTAAAGTTAAAGCTCTTTTCAGCATGTTCTTACATCTCAAGTTGTTGTGGCTAACTGTCCCTTGGGATGGATTGTTTCCTTCACGGTGGATTTTAGCTTTTTATTGAG